CCATCTGTTTATCTAGTATACTTAGGGCTTACTTTTATCTCTCTCTCTCTCTCTCTCACACACACACACACACACACACACACACACACGCACCATCACTAGGACCTGCAGACACACATAAATCGAGTTACAAGCAGGTTTCAGGGAAAGAAATGAATTCCTTAAACATTCAAGAGGATTCTGACGAGCTGCATGGACATCTGTTTTGTTCATATCTTCCATAAAATACAGTATTTAAATTAATAATAACAGATTATCTCTTATTTCACATCTAATTAAAGGACAGCTGATCTACAAACAGAGTAGCTTATAAATAACGTCATCTTTACCAAACATGCCTTACAAACATTAACAAAATGCCACTGTAAAATTAAAATGTTCAGTTTTATAAATAAAACAGTGATTATTGGAGTATGTATCTATTTCAGTTTTACTACTTTAAAATTTCATATTTATTTCAATGTTTTACTTGCCATTTCTGTGTGGTCGTCCAGTTTCTGTGTGAAAATTGTTTATAAAACTGTCCAAACATGGTATTTGCACCACTGTCATAATAAATATAAAAAAATAATAATAAAGTGACAGAAAGAAAGCTTCTGTGAGTAACTATGGTATTTCGACAGAAACTTAAGTTACTATGGTTAATTTTTGCAAGAGATCGAGAAATATTTAATTGATCTTCTCATTTTAGCTTTTCACTTCGTTGCATGTGGTTATTAAATCACCCAGGTGTGAGTGTCCACAGCTCAGGTGTCTGAGGCTAATGTGGATGAGCGGTGACTTCATGAGTTCAGTAATCTGCTCTAAACCCAACAGACCACGAGTCTGACCAACATCTGATAGATTCTACAGCTTTTGGAACAATGTCGATTAAATAAATTAGATAAATTGTTATCTAATATATATATATATATATATATTTGCATGCATCTCAAATTTGTTAGATAAATTATCATTAACACACACATGCATATATACACACACACACACACACACACATACACACAGTATATATATTATATATATATATATATATATATATACATAAATAAAATTATATAATTATATACATACAACAATATATTACAATATTAATATTATGAATATTAATAATTTACAGATTAAGTTAACATAAATTTTACATTGCATGAAAAGTAGATGACTGATATTATTACAAGAATTATAAATATTTTAATTAAAATGATAATTTGCATATTAAATTACAGTACTAATCACACACACACACACACACACACATATATATATATATATATAAATATAATAAATTTTATATAAATATATATTCATTAAAAAAACATATGATTTACAAATATATATTTGTAAATGTAATATTTAATGTTATTTAATAAGTAAATAATCTTATTCCTATAACAACTTTTTCCCAATTGCCTATATCCATCAATCTCAGTCATTCAACACAATTACCAATGTTATTGTGTGAAAAATTATGCTTTTCTATAACTACAACCCCGATCTGATTCCAGACTAATATCTGACATTTATAATGAAATTGTTAAATAAACCATTAAAGATCAGCTGTCCAAAACACTGCAGAGATCAGTTAATCAGTAGAACATGAAATGCAAAAAACAAAACAAAAAGACATTTAAATCCCACACGTTAAGGAATTATGTTTTTATTCATTTTATTACAAGAAAATTCCACAATGCTATTTTTATATAATGATCAAGGATTTTATTATTGTATTCTCTCTCATTAGGTTCTTATCATTAAAGAAAATGGTATTATACAGATTTGTTCAATGTCTCCTCATTGCTTGGTCATATTCCGCAGGAGTGCTGGTCACATTTATCTGTACAATTCAAATGTGTGTGTGTTTTTTTTTTAACTGTACATTTTTGTGTAGTTGATTAAAAAGGCAGTCAGCACTTAAATAAGCTGTTGTTTTTTTTCCTCATCTTTTTAAAGTATATTCAAATCAAACGCTCGCCTGTGACTCCGCCCCCTGGGGGGACAGGGGCGGGGCTACACCAGGTCATGTGATTATAAGGAAGCTTCAGGGATTGGGTGACCAGGCCCGTGTTCCCCCGCGCACGCCCTTCATGCACCCACGCGTTTGGCACTGCGCACACAAACAAGACTCACGAGATATAAACGACAAGCAAAGCTCTTTGTGATGTCATAATGATGCGTACTAAATAATGGGAGGAAAAAGTAAAAGTGTCACGTCAATGACACGTAAGACAAAAAGTGCCACCCTCCAGAGTCCAGATTTCAAGTTGTCATGTTCCTTCCCCATGTCCGAAAACAAAAGCAGTCATTTTTCATTTATTTTTGCATTAAAATGGGGAAATAATATTCTTTTTTTTTTCTCTCCTGGCAGGCACCTACAGTTTCTATTAAAATGCTACAGCTATAAGATCTAGCATTGAACACACAAAGCAACTGCAATGAAAAGAACAAAGTTGCCTTAATATAATAATAATAATTAATAATAATGAGAAGAAAAATGCAATAATAATAATTAATAATAATACAGAATAAATCTCTTTTTATAATTAGATTTTATCATTTAAAAGTATATTTTTTTCTTTCTTTGAAATAATATTTTTTTTCTCATATGTATCTAGGTTTGTGATCAAGATGTTGACTATACTTCAGCGTTATCCAAATCAATAAAAACTAGCTGTGCCGTTGCATATTACAGTCAATGATATGTGAACATGCACCGTGAACCACCCGTTGCTCTCCGTCCTTCGGCCCGCTCCTCTGTCATCATAGACGGCCGATGACCATGACGTCCACCACCTCGCCCTTGCGCAGCTCCACGTATTGCTCAGTTTTGGGAGGTAGCATCAGGAGTCCGTTAGCACTGCGCATGCTCATGAGTCTGCTGCTAACCTGGTTCCCTGGAGGAAGACAAGACGGAGAAAAGCGTGAAAATACTGCCTCCAACCTGCTGGTTTTCGATTTTTCAACAAGGAACCACTAATGTTAGAGGAACCAACATGCATCTTGTTTTATCCACAATAAGAGAAAATAAGAGAGTATAGCAACCCTCTACGCACCTACACACACATTGGCAATACAACTGCTTTTGGCTAGTAATTGTTTGATGCACACAGACTCTCTCTTTTACACACACACACACACACACACACACACACATGTCTGGTTTGCTATCCTTGTGGGGACATCCCATAGGCGTAATGGTTTTTCTGCTGTACAGACCGTATATTCTATTGCCCTACACCAACCCTACACCTAAACCTACCCCGTTACAGGAAACTTTCTGCATTTTTAGATTTTCAAAAAACTTCATTCTGTGTGATTTATTAGCTTGTTTACCTGGGGTACCTCAATTTAGGTCCCCACCGTGACACGAGTCCCCATGAGTCTGTGTGTATTCAGGTTTAAGTCCCCACCAGAATAGAAAAAACAGGTACATACACACACAATAGAACATTTTAAAATTATGAAATAAAATATAAAAAACCTTAAACTTATTTTATTTCAGCTAATTGCCTAGGCATAATTTCTCATTTTCTCATTTAACTTTTAATTTAATTTTAACTTAATGTACTAAAATAACAAAAAAACTGAGGAAAACAATATATAGAAACAATATAAAATCTATACAGACATTAAAAAATCAGGCAACAAAATGACTAAAACTTTAACTAAAATTAAGATGAAAAAGGAAAATATAAAAATGAAAAGTTATTTAAAACATTAATTAAAAAACCCTATAAAAACTAATAAAAACTGATTTGCTAAAATCAACACTGGCAGGTGATTAATGAGCGCTAACACTGGGATTGCAGCTTGCACAATTGTTCAGAAAGTCTAAAATAATGTCATATGTCACAAAAAAAAAACACGAAAGAATTATATAGATAAATATCACTTAAATGTATACATTTTATGTGTTATTTAACATGGCTTTTTTTCACGCTCTCATAAATGAGCTAATGTCAAACGAGCATTCTAGTGTAAAGTGATCAAAACACAGTGAAAAATATATCTGTACTAAACTTATTCTTAGTCTACTCAATCACTGGCAAGTGAAATGTAACAATTTCTGCGATATTTCTGTAATAATAATAATAATGATGGATGTGTAACCTGTGCTCTGTGCCCATGGCAGAGGTTCCTGATGGTGCCATGTCAAAATACAGCGGTGATACTCTGGACGTGGATCCAGCTTCACATCACATGACAACTGGAAACAATTAAGCACAATTTCCATTTCGTTATTAAGGCTGTCAATAGATTTGAATGTTTTGCAATTAATGTTTTCAAGTTAATGCATTAACATATTTAGTTCCTATTCAGCAAAGAAAACAAAATGACAAAATCTGAGAGCTCAGCAAATCGGTCGAAAAATAGTTTCAGTAAGATTTGTTTTTTTGGAAAGCGAGGATGCATTAAAGACTTTTATGTTGTTACAAAAGATTTCTATTTCAAATGCATGCTGTTCTTTTGAACTGTCTATTCATCAAAGGATCCTGAAAAATAAAATGTGTCACAGTTTCCACCAAAATATCATCATTGATAAAAATCTGAAATGTTTCTTGAGCAGCAAATCAGCATATTAGAATGATTTCTGAAGATCATGTGACACTGAAGACTGGGGTAGTGATGCTGAAAATTCAGCTTTTTTTAAGGTTGAAGGTGGTCTTACCCTGGCTTTTATTATGGTGGGTCGCGGGTCTAAGATTCCCTGCATCTTCCTCAAGGCAGGAATGACGAAGAGGTTACATGTTACGACTGCTGACACAGGGTTACCTGTGAATCACCAGACAGCCACAAAAGCACAAATCATTCACTAATAGATGAAAAATAGCCAAATCTGTGTGTTGAAATTACAGACTAGTATGTGTTTGGAAAAAACAAACAAACCAATAAACTCTCTCACCGTCCCTACCTGGCAGAGCAAAGATAAGTTTTCGAGACCCGTCCATATCAACAGTGGCAAATGATGTGGGGAGACTAACGGAAGACAAACCAGAGCTCAATACCTGCGTGGACTGATTCTCATCGTTTGACACTCAAGATCAGGGTGTTTTCACACTGGGTTGAAATCTGAGAGCAGTTTGCATGATTTACACTGCGAGGTGATCGCTCTAAACGCTGTAAAGTGCTCTGAAGTGAGACCATCTCAGGAAACGGTCTGAATACAGTTCACTTTAAGTGTATGTAAAACAAACAAAGCAGTATTTTTGCTCGCAGGTAACCATAATGACACGCTTACTTTTGGTATTAAAACTATTCTATTCTCTTATTCTATTAATTCAAATAAAATAAATGCAAAAAAAAAATGCAAAGTAGTTCTATGGATTAAATGGACTGACATCCAGGTCGGCTTTTTGGAGTTTTTCACTTACATTTTAAATATAGATAGAAAAATAGAATAGTATTCAAATATATTTAATTTAATTGTATATACATTTTAATTTATAATAACATACAATGTAATAAAACAAAATGAATGTTAATAAAACATATTTGAATAAAATACATGTTTAAAATAAAATAAAACGTAGTACTATATCCAAGTTTTTAAATTAAATTTTGCTCCAGTTAAAGCGGATAAACACTATAATATAATAACAGCATTAAAACTATTCTATTATATAAATTGTAATAAAATAAATGTAACATTTAATTGATAAAATGTAATAATGTTAATACAATATATTTGAATAAAATAGTGGTAAAATGAAGTATTATGGATTAAATACACTGACATTCAGATCTGCTTTTTTGGAGGTTATCATTATTTTCTTTTTTAATTAAGTTTTGTTCGAAGTAAAGTGTTAGTGTTTCATTAAACGAAGTTTCAAAAGTGAAAACACCCTCATTCTGCATTACTTGTACAATCTTCACGCAGATGTCACCTGTTTCTTCAAAAACTCACCCTGGTTTCATGAAGACACGACCAAAGTGTATCTGAGCATGAAGGTCGATATCAAGTACCTGTTTCAGGTAATCCTGTGAAAACATCCATTTACAGTGATCTTAATGATCTGCTAAACTAGGACCAATTAAAAATAACAGTGTATGACAAAGATTTTTTTTAACCAATGCCTGATTGTATAAACACTGTATTCTCTTCTTTATTGTGAGTGTTAATCCTTTTAAAAAGATCTGTAGGTATTTAAAGCACTAGGCACCTCATTTCTTTAGGAGTAAATCTCTTTGACGTGACAGACTTACTGCCATCCAGCCACTAGATGTCAGTATACAGCAGTGATTACTAAATTAAACTCAAAGTGTTAAGCTTTTCCATGCATCTTTCTAAAACACAGTTTGTCTTCAGGAAGCTGTCAGCTAAATACACAGAGCAAATGTAAAAAAGCTCTCGTGCCTTTTCCCCCATGGACACGCCCCCTGAGGTGATGACGACATCAGCGCGACTGATTCCCTCGTTCAGAGCATTCAGCAGGTCATCAGGGCTGTGGGAAACCAGGGTAACAGTTACCATGACAACTGACATGTCACAAAACATGATTAATAGCCGTACATCCTTAAAGATAACAAAATGCAATAAACATAAGCAATTGATTAAAAAGTAGGGTGTTTTATACAGCTACACACAAAACAAGGTACAAAACAGTCAATGGGGCGGTACCCTTTTAAAAGGTACTAATATGTACATTTTATAACAGTAATAATGATAGCACTAAACTTTATTTTACAAGCACCTTTAAAAGCAGCTTTACACATAAACAAGCAATAAACCACAATGATAAAATTAATAAACATGCTTCGATTTATAACTACAGAAAACACAACCAAGACAATCAAGCAAAAGCTAACCACGGAGTACTAACTTTATGCCCTTTTAAGTATTAATATGTACCATTTAGGGGCAAATAAGATAGATGTACATTTTTTCTGAGAGTTTATACTGAGCTAATTTATTTCTAATTTCTCAACCAAACCAATATTTAATGATATACATGCAATTCCCTGAGGTTGTTAGATTGTAGTAATCTTTTTACTTAGTTAAGTCACTTGTGTTTCAGTATCTAAGTTCAATAAAGTTCATGTGGAAGATAACCGTTTTTTTTTTTTAAGAATTGTTTAAAAAATATTTACAGAAATAAGCTACGATATTTCACTTTTAGTCGAAGCGGATATCATGTTAAGGTGTTTCTCATTGGGTGGTGATAAAAATCTAGCATTCAATTTTGATTTATTATATTTGCTTGCTATTATAATAATGAAGTCAAACGGTTTGAAAGAATACCTTTGTTAGAACAATTTAAAATTGACATAGAAATATCTAAACACCTAAAAGCAATACAAACTACGTAACTGTTTAAGATGTACAACGTTTTTCTGTATTTCTATAAACCCCTTGACATGTTTGGTTATATGCACTCTTGTATGTAAAATATGCTTGGTTTAAACTTTTATTAATCAGGTTAAAAAGAGATTTTTTTCTGTTTTTATGTAATCTAAATTTGACACACAATTACTCATATTTCTGTATAAAGTGTGAACGCTGCTCACTTGTCTCCCACGATGCCCAGGTTGATGGTGGGGTATCCGTGCTCCTGTATGGTGGCCAGCAGCGTCGAGCGATTCGAGTCTCTGATCTTCCCGGGGTGTAAATCGTCCTCTGGGTTCAGCAGCTGAAAACACAACAGTTTACTGCTCAGGAATTGCTTATAAGACTTAAAGAGTAACTTTAAGCATTGCATTAATACAATCAGGGGTGGATTTAGTGATTTGGGGGCCCCAGGCAAAATACAGGAATGGGGCCCTATACAGTTTCTCACATTTACAACCTTGAGGTTCTTTTAACTGTTGTGATGCTCGCTGCTGCACGACCGTGTCCCTTAGTTGTGTCCGTTTTTTTTAGATTTTTCATGTACATGTTACAAATGGATTTCTTTCATATTTCATCCTTTTCAGCGCTAATTCTTCACTGCGCGTCTTTAGTAAATCCTGAAATTACCATTTTAATGCCAAAAGACTGTTTGCGTTGGTGCACGTTGTTAGTAAATCTGCCCCTTAAAGGCACAATATGTAAGATTTTTTTATTAAAATATCCAAAAACCACTAGAACAGTGTTATATATTTTGCTGACTTGTGTACTTACATTATCCCAAATGTTTCGAGGAATGTTTAAATCCAGAGAAATAAGCTATTTTAACTAGTGGCATGCACCGTGTCTATAGTGTCATTGTGTCGCCTGCCAATGACGTCATAACCCCTCCATTTCCGGTTTTGTTTTGTAGAAAACATGGAAACACCAAAGACGCTTTAATATGTTGTGTGTTTTAATAGACCGGTGACGACCGCACAGAGTAGCATTATAACAGAACTTTCAAATGTATCTAGTTTGATAAAACAGCGCTGCTTTACCCCACATGCGCACGACCGGAAGGAGTGGACGCGGTCGACTGTGGCATAATAAAAGCTCCGCTGCTTTCGAGCCGTGTGTCACGCTCGTTCAGCGGCCTCGTTTCGCTTCGACGGCTTTCAGCCTCACCCTGCTTCATTCTACTATGTTAATAAATCATTAGCTCATCCATGAACATGATTTCTGCCCGAGTCCCGTCAGATTGCTTCGGCTGTGGGGATGAAGACCACAACTCCCATGACTTCACACTCAGTCACTCCGTCATCAAACTACGCCTTTGTCTATTTGTTTATTTTGAATATGCGCCCTCTAGCTGCGAAAATTACATATTGTGCCTTTAAATCTTCCTTCTCAGGTAAACATATCTATATTTAAGAATGTTTCGATATTTGTACTAGAAGCAAGACAAAAGTACTAAGTAAGAAAATATGTTTTTGCAGTGTGAGAAAGCAGGAGGCTCCCCATTAGATATAATTGCTGTCTAGAAGAAACAGTGGAGATATAAAGAGCAGTGTGTGTTGTAATGACACCTCGTTGCCTGTAGACATCACAGCCACGACTGGAAACTTCTGCACTTCCACCTCTGTGACGCCCACCGTGGCCAGCAGACCGATTTCAGACGAGCCCATGTGAGTGCCTTTGGCCAACACACATTCACCACGCTTAATGTCGTGACCGATGGGCCTGCAGAAGCAGAACACGGGACAGACTCCTTCAGACACATCCGAGACTCACACAGTCACGCTGAGATACGCTCACAGGCGCTCACCTGATGTCTTGACCTGGACGAGCTTGAATCAGAATCCGCACCTCGAGCTCTTCTGTGCCCTGAGAAATGATTTCAGATAGGAAGAGACAGAAAATAATCGACAGCCGAGGTGGCAATTAATGGCAGTCTGAAATATTTTCATATCATCATTAGTGAATAACAGTGTCTACCTGGACAAATAATTTCCTCAATTATTCCTCAAATACACTCTTAAAAATAAAGGTGCTTCAAAAGGTTCCTCAAGCGATGCCATAGAAGAACCATTTTTGGTTCCACAAAGAACCATTCAGTCAAGGGTTCTTTAAAGAAGCATCTCTTTCTTACCTTTTTATAATCTGAAGAACCTTCTTTCGCCACAAAGAACCTTTCATGAAACAGAAAGGTTCTTCAGATGTTAAAGGTTCTTTATGGAACCATTTAGACAAAAAGGTTCTTCAATGGCATCGTGAAGCAACTTTATTTTAAGAGTGTATATCAAATAATTTTGGTAGAATTTGAGTAGAAATAGTGTAAAATAAGTATATTACATTTCAGCAATTTTGTATACTTGTCAAAAATATATTAATTTAAGTAAAATACATTTATATTATATTATGTGGAGTCAGTAAGATGTTTTATCTATCAAGGATGCATTAAATTGATCAAAAGCGACACTAAAGACATTTATAATGTTACAAAAGGTTTGATTCAAATAAATGCTGTTATTTTCAATGTTCAGTGCAACCAAAAATCTTGAAAAATAAAATGTATCACAGTTTCCACAAAAATATGAAGCAGCACAACTGTTTCCAACATTGATCATAATCAGAATTCTTGAGCAGCAAATCAGCATATTATACTGATTTCTGAAGATCATGTGACGCTGAAGACTGGAGTAATGATGCTGAAAATTCAGCTTTGAGATAAATTACATTTGATTATATATTCACATAGAAAACAGCTATTTTACATTGCAATAATATTTCACAGTTTTTATTGTATTTTTGATCAAATAAATGCAGCCTTGGTGAACAGAAGAGACTTTCAAATGCATTTAAAAAATCTTACCGACCCCAGACTTTTGAACATTAGTGTATATAAATAAATTAAAATGATTAAATAATGTATTGTTATGTTTCATTAAAGAATCAGCAGGCTGTAACTCACGTCTTCAGACTCTCGCAGGAGTTCGGTGTCTTCTACTTGAACCACAGCGTCGGCGCCGCATGGAATAGGAGCACCTGTCGTCACCCGCATCACCTGACCTGGCATCACGGTGTGTGTGGGCTGGAAACACACGTATGGATCATTTCCCTCACATCTGAAGGTGGATTTCTCAAACGATATCTTTTCTTTTCTCACCTGCTCCCCAGCCTGAGACTCGCCGATAATAAATCTGTCACCAGGACCATCAGCCGCTGTCAGGACACAGAGACAACACTGTAGCATACTGCTGTTTCCCATGCAACTAACAAAAATATGTTCTAAAAATGTTTTGATAACGTTCCCATTAAGTTATGGACTCGATAAAATCTTATTTTGAATGTTCAAAACGTCCCGTTTTTTAAATGTTACCTAAAAAAAACATTAAGGAAACATTTCTTTTCAATGTTTTTGAATGTTTTGAAGCAAGCAGTAACATCAGCTAAAACATTTAAGGACTGTTCCTTCGGAATGTTTTCTGATGTTTTGAAACTTAATGCAAAATCCCCAAGTGCTGAAGTTTACTCTGCACAAGTTCTTATGACATTTTTAAGCAGGAAACTCCCATCCAGCACCAAGTCCATAAGAAATGAATGAAGCATTTGACATTCATCCCCTGAGCGTCGCTCTCCAGTAGACGTGAGTAATGCTTTCAATATGCAGCGCTGACGCAAGCACTAGAGCATGAGTTAACCGGGTCTGTCATCGTCGAGTCATGTGGGCTCTCACCTCTTACAGCATAGCCGTCTTTAACGGAGGCAGGGAACGGAGGCAGGTTGTCTTTGGCATAAACGTCCTGAGCCAGAACTCGACCCATGCCGTCTATGAGAACAACAAGACAGAGAAAAAGATTACATGTGTTTATTAGCACTAACATGCATGTAAAACAGGCCATTTAAAATACATAAGGGACGATGAGCTACCTGATATTTACCCCCAAAAATAAAAAAGAGCAAGAATACAAAATCTGTAGAAAATAACAATTTAGAGCATTTTAGATGCTGGCTTCTATGGAAGCTTATTTCCGCCACGGAATAAAAATATAAAAATGGTAATTGCAGCTTTTGAAACTTAAAAAATAAAATAAAATCAGAATTGCAAGTTCTCTCACAATTTTGACTTTACTTTTTTGCACAATTGCAAGCTGACACACACACATCAGATTACAGAAGGATCAATATCACAGCAGATTAACACACACTGATGTGATTCTACATCTCACATACTGGGATTCACTTCCAGCATGCAAAAACATGCTTTAAAAGGAATAGATCATTAAAAAAAGGTAAACAGAGTCATATGAAATCACAGACTCAATGCAGAATGTGTTGTACCTCTGTAGTTAATGATCTCAGTGCCCAGAACTGCGGTCATCTCCAGCACAGTGATGAAGGCTTTATCCATAGAGGTGAGAGGGAATGGAGACATACGGTGTCTCCGAGCCACTTTGGTGATGTCCACTGCACTATGACCTTCAAACACACACACATACCTCAACACTTCATTTATACACACGTGATGCTCAACTCATGAGTGTCTGATGCTGATATCTAGAGATGCCAATATAAGCTGTATTTTGTCACATAATTTTTATGATAATAAATAGCACTGAATGAAGTTTCTTTTACACAATATTTATGGAGTATCCATTTAATTTTTTGAAATTAATCTATCTTTTTAAAATTGTATCTAAGTGCAAATAGCTTGTGCTTTTTAATATTTATAATTATATACAGCGAACTAGTGTTATTTTAGTGTAATTAAGATAATATTATAGTTTTTATTAATATTTTGAATGAGTTTATATTTTTAGATTTTCCGTTTCATTTTAGTATAGTAATTTAGTTGTGTTTTTGTCATTTTTATTAGTTTTTTTTTGTTCAATTTTTTCAATTTCAATGTTATTTTTTTAAGTCATAGTAGTTAAACTAAATGAAAATAAGCAATGTTGCCTTGGCAACTAGAAGAAAAAAATACTAAAAAAATAAAATATTTTAAAAATAGATTTTATTTTAGTTAACATTTATTATATTCAAGTAACATTTTTTCATAGTTTTGGTTAACTCTAATAAACCTGCACTGAATGTGATATTATTATTGCACACTGTTTTATAATTAAAATATACTGACGTATAACTGACTAACAACTATTTAAATTTAGTGCAAAGAGTGGAAATAGTTATACATATATCTGTTTTGTGATACAAGTGATGGAAAAGTCATATTGGAAGAGCATTCAAATTGATATTTCATAATCACACGCAGGTCAAACACAAGAAAAGTAATTTCATGAAGAAACATACTTGCTCGTAAGATGTTTTCTTTGCTGCTGCATCGTGACTGCACCTGAAGAAAGAAAACAAGGGACGAAAGAGAAAAAACCTGTTAATATTTAATTTTTTGTGTGTTTTCATGGAGCTTTTATGAGATGTGCGCCACTAAACCCCAGAAAACAATAAGCAATGTCATGCTGCGGTCATATCATTATGAAACTCAGAGACAAACATGGAGCTGGGAATTCTGGGATGTAATGAGTAGAAACAGAGAGAGATTCACTTCTGTTCAAAAGTTTGAGGTCGGTAAGATTTTTAATGTTTTTGATAAAAGTCCAAAGCGGCATTTCTTTGATCAAAAATGCAGTAAAAACAGTAATATTTTGAAATATTATTACAATTTAAAATAACTGGTTTATATTTGAATATAATTTAAAATCTAATTTATTTCAGCATCATTACTCCAATCTTCAGTGTCACATGATCCTTCAGAAATCATTCTAATATGCTCAAGAAACATTTATTATTATTTTCAGTGTTGAAAACAGTTGCGCTGCTTCATATTTTCGTGGAAACTGATATACAGTATGTTTTTTTTCCAGGATTCTTCGATGAATAGAAAGTTCAAAAGAACAGCATTTATTTGAAATAGAAATCTTTTGAAATTATTACTGTCACTTTTGATCAATTTAATGCATCCTTGCTGAATAAAAATATTCTGTTAAAAAATCATACTGACTCCAAAATTTTAAACAGAAGTGCATCAGTACTGAACATGACCTGATCTAAACCAGATCTGAAACTCATAAAATACACTGATGTCAACAGATAAACCTGTTTGCTTTCCATTATATCCAATGAAAGAAATAGTAGAGACAAAAAATGTAACATTCAACTTCGTATAATCTTAAGGGAATGTACCCTATTCCCATGACACGAAACTGTATTCTTTCCTTTAATAACGCTGTTTTTCTCCTGTTGTCCTTTCTGTAACCTTAACATATTGCTCAACCCTTCTGGACTGGAGTGCTAGTTTGTGATGACTGTACTTGTGAAAACCACCCTATAATCAGTGGCAGGAAAGCTCTAATAGACTCTCTAGAGCACTACAGTTAGAGGGAGATGGAGTGAAATGTTCCTGAAGAACTACTGATGCCCGTTGAGAAGCAGACGGCATAGTGAAGAACGAGTGAAGAACTGAAGGAGGAGAGAAAGACAATTACGAGAGCGAGACCCTGAACAGCACAGAGCTCGTGAAACATGAGAGAGAGAGAGAGAGAGAGAGACGCACAGAACCGCTGAAAGAGCAAAACGCAGCGAGCAGGGAGGGAATAATAAATCAAACAAGATGATGATGTCAGCAAAAGCCCCAAAACACAGCAACTTCTGAAAAAAGGGAACAAACAAACAAACACGCAGGGGTTTCATTTCGGTAATCTGACTCTTTGTTTGTGGCTTTGAATTGCACAGGTATGCACAGGTATATTTTTATGTCAGATAATACGCTCAAATAAATAATTAGGCCTAAATGAAATACATAAATCTATAATACATAAATCAAATTTCTGTATTTGAATTGCATATACAATTTCCGTCCATTTGGATTACAGTTTTAGTATATAATAAACTTCATGTGATGCATATTTGTCAGTCATGGATAAATGAATTTTTCTGTAGATTTTTGTAATAGTACTAATAAACTAAATGCATTTTAAATACACAATAACCAGGTTTATATACAGTATTTATCATTAATATATCCAATTTGTTTTAAATTTCATACATTTTAACTAACTGAATATTGCTTGTTTCACAGCTAGTCATATTTTAACCATGTTCATGTTTTTTTTAACTTAACATAATACATTTAATTGTATGAAAATATGATAATTTAAATCAAATTAAATAAATGAAATAAAACGATTTTTTTTGAGTATAGAAACATTTTAATTTTTGTATGACTGAATTTAAAATGTATTTATGCACTTATGCACAAAAATAAAACTAGGACCTAATTTCTTATTTTTCATTATATTATTTATTTTAATTTTTTTTAAATGGAGAAATCGTACCAGTTTCATTTATGTACAACTGACAATTATGCATAACATTCAGCATATTAGTTTGTTTATTTTAAAACTGTGTAATACAAACGGATGGAAAATTTACATGCAATTTAAATACACAAATCTTTAATTTAGGCCTAAATATTTTGAGTGTATTGTATGTAGTTTGAGTAATAGTTCAAATTCTACAAAAAATGGGATTTTGCATTACATTACTTGCATTGATTAAAAAAATGAAATGACACAAATGTGTACTCTACTCATACAAAAGAATGATAGATGGCAGTGACAATGACTTAAAAAGGTAAAACATTTAAAAATAAAGTTCAGTTCCTTACACATTTAAGCATCCTAGTCTTGAAATGAAATATTCATATACATATCATAATTAAATCACGTATCATATCACATTTAAAATATACAAAAAGAAAAGCAAAATAAGATAAGGAAATGCTAAAAGAAAGACACAATTGCAAATAAGTGGAAGAAGACAAATAGAGAGTGGCATGTGAAGAGCTGATTGTTCTGGGATAGTTACTCGAGAACTGAAGGTCCTATGGCCATGGCGATCATCTTTAAGCACCTCCAACCTACACTGGAGCTTACGGAGATAAAGTCATCAGTTCATCAGTTACAAGCAACAGAAGAAACAATCCAACAGAAAACAGAGCGGCAGGCAACTCAAAGATACATCGACAGACAGAGAGAAAACTTTCAGGTATCACAAGAACTAGAGGTTGTTAGTGAACATTTCATTTATAATTACATTTAAATCTCCAAGAATAATACAAGTTAAAGTACTAATAACACACACACACACACACACACACACACACACACACACACACACACAGAGAAGGAATAGTTCACCCAAAAATAACATTTGCTGACAATGTCCTTCCCTCAGGTTTAGAGAATTGTAGCATTGCATCATTTGCTCAGCAATGGATCCTCTGCAGTGAATGGTTGCCGTCAGAATGAGAGTCCAAACAGCTGATAAAAACATCACAATAATCTACAAGTAATCCACACCACTCCAGTCCATCAATTAACATCTTGAGAAGAAAAAAGCTGCATGTTTGTAAGAAACAAATCCATCATTTAGACATTTTAAACTTTAAACCATTATTTCTGGCCAAAATACGATGCCATAATCCATAATAACACTTCCTCCAGTGAAAAAGTCCATCTCCTGTTGTCTCTCACATCAAAATCCACTGAGATATTTGTTTAGAACTGTTCTGGACTACTTTTACTTGTAAACGGAGCTTGATCTGTGCAGATTTCTCTCCAGATTCAGACGAGGTGTCACAGTAGGAAGCGTTATTATTCTCATTCTGACGGCACCCATTCACAAGTGATGGAATGCTACTTTTCTCCAAATCTGTTCGCATGAGGAAACAAACTCATTTACAAATTGAATAACCTGAGGGTGAGTACACTCTTAAAAATAAAGGTGCTTCAAAAGGTTCTTCAAGCGATGCCATAGAAGAACCATTTTATAAATGTGAATTTCTGTCATAATGGTTCTTTTCCATAACACTGAATGCTGTAACAAAGGCAATAAAGAGTTGGTTATTATTAAGTCTCTTTCCGGCTCAGACTGCGTAGGGTAAGCTTATGGGGCTGTCACGTGATGTACAAACGACTCGAAAAACCCGAAGACTCAAAACAGGTGAACTACTTGACTAATTCCAGTACAGAACCTATAGGTTGTTGCACATGCTCACTTCATAACTGTTGTTATTCTTTCAATTGCAATAAAAAAATATAAAAAAATTGTTGCGCATGCGCGACTGATTGAATCACTCCCCGAGACGACATGTTCTTCCCGAGTCAAAATGAACGAATCGTTCAAGAATGACCCAACACTAACCGCTAGATTTAAATCAGCACAGCCAGTGAAGGATCGAACGCAACTGTTTTGAACGAGCGCAACTTTTTTAACAACAAAAAAGTGTCTGTTTCGTTGTCTGTTGAGGAAGTACAGACGTTCCTCTCTTCGCATTGCATTGGCTCGTTTAGTTTACACTCGAAGTAGATTGGTCCCTCTAAGCGAGATCCCAATTTGTCGGTCCTCCGACGTGACGTCTCCGTTCCCTCCTTCGGGGAACGAGGGTTACATACGTAACCGAGACGTTTTTTTCAAGCTACAAACTATTCAGATTGAATCTAGTACAACTACAGTCAAGCTACATTACAAGTAACTAACAAAAAGTAGTCAGTAAACTAACTGAACTGAAGCTATAAAAGGGGTACTAATATCATTATAAATGTATAGAAAGTCATATATGAACATTTATTTGTCTCTAAAACAATATATCATCAGAGCATGCAGTACAACCTGACAAAAAAGTATTATTTTTTTAAAATTTTGTTTTTGTTACCATGACATTTTTAGTTTTTAATTGAAAAATAAATAAAAAGTTAGTTACTGGAAAAAGACAACATTTCATCTATTTTAATAGTGAAAACTATTTTAATGGCAAAAATCTAATATTGTGCATCCCTATAAATAACTGAATACCAAAAAAAAAAAAAAACATCTCAACGCAGCATATAATATATACGTTTTTCAGTATAATATATAAGCTTCTAATTTATTGTATATGGCTGGAATATTGATTAAAACGTATTTTTTAAATGTATAAAAAACAACTACTTTTTTAAAGATATCAATACAATCTGACAGATTAAAATTTTTTTTGCTATTCAAAAATATAATCCATTTGTTACTGGAAGAACAACACAATTTTGTACTAACATGCTATTGATCACATCTCAATACAGTATAATATACAAGCTTGTAATGTGTCGTATATGGATGGATTATTGATTAAAACATTTTAATAACTAACTCTTTAGATCAAGCAGAGCTCATATAACTGCACTTTTAGATGTCGTGTCTGTTTTACAGAGGTAATAACTAGAGGCCGACTGATACAGGTTTTTCATTGGTTGAAACGGAAAATCTGGAGAACAAGTTGGATGATTAATTGCCGATATA